CCAAACGTCAACTAATCAATTTTATCAATCAACAGCGGTTATTAAAATACACGCAGGTACCCTACTTGTTATTTATTATTAGGGCTCGGATTTTAAAGGAAATGCTTCTTTTTATATATTCAAGATAGAAATCTAATTTTTATGCATAAATTCGTTTCACGTCAATCTGATTCCAAATAAAAGAATCTAGTTTTGCTGTTTTTTGTGTAAATGCTTTTTTTGCTTTTTATTGCTTTTTTCAGTTATTCTAACTGTGGCATTTTTATATGTCTGTTATGCTATAAAAATAAAAATMAGTTAAATAAATTTACTTAATGAGAAATGTGAAAACCCGCAATAATTACCGTGACYGTGCCATTAGTGCGAAACGTCCTTAAACGTATTATAGATTATCGATCAACAGATAGCTTATGGATCGATAGCTTATTATCGGTTATTGCATATAGTCTGTAGAACCAATAAACGCTCAGTACTCGTATAACATCGATATCGACATGTTCAAAATTTAAGTTTTATAGTGCTTTATAGTGTTGTAATTTATTAAAATGCCAAAAGTTAAAACGAATGCATTTTTAAAAAAAATTAGTGTTAGAATTTGGTGAAGAATTTTTTCAAACAGATGGATCGATTTTATATTGCAAACTTTGTGAACCAAAAGTGTCACATAAAAAAAAATATAATATACAACAGCATGTACGTGGAGAAAAACATGTTCAAGCTGTTAAAAGACACGAAAATGAAAAGTCTGCATTACTTTAACCATTTTTACAACAGTTTAGTATAGTCAGTCAGATTTTAATGCCGATTTATGTTCAACATTGGTAGCTACAAATATTCCAATGAATAAACTAAATAATAAAAATTTTCACGAATTTTTAACAAAATATTGCAAAAAAAATATTSCTGACGAGTCGACATTACGTAAAGGATATTTTAATTCATGCTATGAAAATACATTGGCAACAATTCGTGATACAATAACAGATCAAAAAATATGGGTGTCTATTGATGAAACCATACGGACTCTGTACGTCGTCGTAATGTTGCAAATGTAATAGTGGGCACTTTACAACCACAAAATCCAAGTAATATGTTTGTTATTCACACAGAATACTTGGAGAAAGTGAATCATAGTACAATATTCCAACTATTCGATAAAGCTATGCATATTTGGTGGGGAAATGGTGTAAAACATAACGATGTTTTGCTATTTGTCTCCGATGCGGCACCTTATATGAAAAAAGCTGGTGATTGTATAAAAGCGCTTTACCCAAAGCTCATACATGTGACTTGCTTGGCACATGCATTACACAATGTTTGCGAAGAAGTACGTGCACACTACCAATATGTAAGTAGGTCGGTTGATTGGAGGAATGAAAAAAACGTTTTTAAAATGTCCCAAACGTACAGCAATCTTTAATGAGAAATGCCCAGAATTGCCAAATCYACCAAGACCAATAACGACCAGATGGGGTACATGGATCAAATCTGTCCAGTGTTACTGCAAACATTTTAATGAATTAAAAAGTGTAATTGAAGACTTCGAAGAAGAATCCTCAATGTGTTAAAGTAGTGAAACAACTATTTCAAAATGTATCGCTTCAATCAAAYAGGTATTGTGTATATTAGACATTAAAGGTAACTTTTAACAAAGTATTTAAACAATTTAACATCATAATACTAAATTATATGTATAATTTTAGGCGAATCGTWGACAAMATGTATAAATATYGTSTTAGATGCAGAAAAAAAGTTAAATGAAGCTAATGGAGATATTGCAACTGTTATTTCGGGTAAGCTAAATCGTGTTCTTTTGAAAAACAAAGGCTGGAAACAATTACTGGACATTAATAATTTACTGTGTGGCGTTTCATCAGACGAAATTAATTATCATGGGTTTGATTTAAACGAAACCTCTTGCATGAAGTATGCATCACCGATCACTTATCAGCTAGTGGATGTAGAGCGTTCGTTTTCTATGTATAAAAACATCATGTCAGACAACAGAGTCAGTTTCACTTCTGAAAATCTTGCTAAATACATGGTAGTAAATTCTTTTTTTTAATTTAAATTAATTTTTCAATTTTTTTTATTCAGTTTTATATAAAATTATAACTAATTTATGTTAATTTTTAGTATATGCTTTTTTCAAAAATAAATATTTTTCATTTTTGCTTTTTTTGTTATTTATTATGCTTTAAAATCTATTTATTATGTATAAAGAGATGTACATTGTGCATACAGGCGGTATGTAGGTACATAGCGCATATAGGTGTGTTGTACTATATACACGCGGCAAAAATATTGAAGGTATTATTATAATATAAATGATCGAAATTTCGAGTGGGTGATATTATGGTGTCGATAGTGACATTTATCAGACATTCGATTTTTTGTATGCGTGAAACTGTTATGTTATGCCTATAATATTGTAAATAATTTCAATACACATTTAGTATTATACCTTCACGTCATTGCATGCAAAATATGAGATACTACAGTGGTCTGCAGTGGCGTGTCCAGAACTTTTTTTGTGGATGGGCCACAAATATTATGTTCTGAATGGTTTTACCCCCTCCTCATACTAAAATTTCATTGAGCATCGGACTTACATACTAGTCTAGTACTTATATAAAAATGTGGRTGGGCACGTGCCCACCGGKCCCCCCTCCCCCTAAACACGCCACTGACAGTGGTATGATTACCACCTGTAATCATACACTTACCTGCAGTTGGCAAGTAAAGCAAATTTAGGATGCTTAGATTATATTTATGTATATTACTATAGTAAGTTATAGTGTAATAATACAAAGCCTGAATTATTAGATACCCTAAACAAATTTTGAAAAATTTATGATTCATTAGATCATTAATCTAATTTTTGTATAGAACTAGAAATCATACACATTGAACCGTAGGTATGATATTATATTACAAGCTGAGAGCATCTTTTATGTGGTATAATAGATACCAGTTTACATACTAATAATATATAGATATAAATATTAGCTYTGTAGTGTCTGAAGTCTTGAGTTCGGAAAAATAAATAATATTTTTACTGCAGTAATCATAAAAATATACATTGTATTTGAAATGTACGTAGTTTTCATCGTGTTCAATAAGATTAATATACATATATAAAAAGTTTCTATAAAAAATTTCAAAAATTTCAAAATGTCTAGTTTCATCTTATTTTTAGTAATGGTACGTAGAATAAAATACGTTGCTATAATATATAAGAGTCTTGCAAATTTTCGAGATGCGGAYGATTTTATGATTTGTTTTCGTTGTTCGCGTACAGCAAATATAATATAATAATAATAGTAATTATTATTATATAGGTAGGTATATACTGGTTGTAAACCTTTATCCTTATTGGAAGATTTACATGTATCGTTATGATATTGCTCATTTATAGTGATATTACCTGTACGGCTGATATAATATTATACAGACACATATTTATTATTATAACATTATTTATAGGTAATATTATATAGTGTTAGTTGTGCGCATTTACGACGGTCAGCCGCGGCGGCATAAAGAGATAGGTACCTAGGTATAGGTAATTCGCGTTCGCCGAATCGTCTTTAATGGACTTCGCATATTATATAGTCGTCAGTCGGTCGCTGCTGCGACTATATATTATATAGGTAACCACTCCGGTCGTCATCACACACGCAGCTTATAAAATTATTATGTGAATATTATTACAAGTACCTACGTAGGTATATAATGTATATGCAGCTGTTGTGTACCAACATAGTTGCATATATTTTTTATCTATAAAACGAGTTTTTCTCCGCCCAAAACGTCCGTTGAGTTTTTGCGGGAATAAATCATAGTAGGTACGCAGTGGTATAGTATGATATTCGAACAATAAACCTGTTACGTGCAAAGTGACGAGACTCATCATCCGTTTGCCGGGCAATGYAATATAATAATATTACACAATAATTATATTATGTGACTTGCACTTGAAATGCACTCGAATCGATAATATTATAAGCAACAACTCTCAAGCATACATTTTGTAAGCAGGTTATATAGGCACCGATATAAAAATAGTATCAWCGATATGTATATACCGATACGACAATAAATTATGTTATTGGTTTATGGAGTTTTAAAGGATAAAAAATAAACACTTGTATATAATAGTAATAATAATAATAATAATAATAATATATATTTTTGTCAATTACACTGCACAAAAACGTACGCACAATATATAAAATAATATATTGTCAAACGTACAAAGTAATTATTATTACAATAATATTGCCGTACCTACAAAATACACTCTAAAAGATAAGGACTAGTAAATATTATCAAATTTCTTATATCAGATATTTTTTTTGCATTTTTTTTTTGTTTTTGTTTTTGATTAAGTCGAGAGAGAAATGCTTACGCGTATCATAATTATATATACACACACGCGTGTATATTTATAACTTACAATGTTTGTATAATATGCCTATGACGTATTATATAATATAATATATAATATTTACACATATGCACGGCGACTGCAATGACGAATAACGCGTATCACGTGTAAAAACGAAACATATTTTATACACAATAATATAATAATTAAAAACTCACTATCAATTGTTGTTATATTGCGTAGTACAAGATAATAACGTATCTAAAAAAAAAAACTACTCATACCTATTTACAAAAGGATATTTCACTAGATTTATATGATATATATAAATATATTCAAACACAACCTTTAATATGTAAAAACAATGTACACAGTAGGTATATATTAAAATTAATAGTCGTATATTGTTTACGCGAACTTTTCTCTACTTTTTTCTAAATAATATTATATTATAATAATGAATTGTATTCTACGATAAAAAAAAAAATAATAATAATAACGTTCTAAGTAGAACAGCCACGACGATATATTAATCGTTTACAATAATATATAAATCGTAATAATAATAATAGTAAATATTATAATAAATATACATTAACAAAAATGAATCACATATTTTCATACATCGTATACATATATGCAATAATAATAATAATATAATAAAGTTTATATAATAAAAATTCGCTTCGTAAAACTGTAGGGGGGTTGAGGGTGGCGGGGACACGTTACATAATTAGTCAGATCGTTTAATAATATAGTATATGAGTATAGGATAAAAACATACCAGATACACACACACACACACACACATCTATGATTATATCGTACACCACAGACGACGATGAGGTCAATCGTTTGACTTGAGCACCACAACGAAAATAAAAATGATTTAAGTAAAATGTGTGCGGCGGGGTTACGTGGCTTAACATGGAATATATATTATCATATGCGTACAGATAGCTCTAGAACCAAAAATTAAAAAAACATTTTATGACAGACTATCGAGTATGATATTACGTCATGATAATAAAATATGTTATACATAAATTAGTAGGCGGGAGACGAGCGACACATCGACAGGTTGGGAGCAATATAAGAGTATCGTATAATAAATATAATATWATATTATTATATWTAGTTTACCGCGCCCGTGCGGCGTCTACCACCACCAGGGCGGCGGCACGGGAAAACGCTGGTGCGGCGAGGGTCGAGGTCACGACGTGGCGGCCTGCGCCCCGGCGGACAGAGACGGCTGCTGCTGTTGGTGGCTGTTCTCCACGTGAGCGTTCCGCCGGGTCCGCGAGCTGAACACCATACCGCACCCGGGCACCTTGCACCGGTGCATTTCGTGCATGTGCAGCTGTTCGTAGTGCTCGCGCATGCCGTTCTTGTCGGGGAACGATTTGCTGCAGAACCGGCACGCGTACATGCTGCCGTTCTCTTTGTCGGGCGCCGGAGGCAGGTCCTCGTCGGCCGAGTACACCAGCCGTGCGGCGGATGGCGGTGACGTGCTGCAGCCGTTGGCCGCGGCCGCCATGGCCATCGCTGCCGCCGCGGCGGGCAAGTGCCTGAACGGTGAACCGACGGGCGCGCCGCCGGCAAACTGCGGTGGCACCTGCATCAGGCCGTTGCCACCCGCGAACGCCTGGAACTGTTGTTGCGAATCGGCGTACAACCGGGCCAGGAACTCGGCGTGCATGCCGTACGGGTTGTCGGCCGCAGCGGCCATGATGTTGGCCGCCGTGGCGGCGGCGCTGCTGCTGGTGACTGCAGGTGCCGGCTGGGCCTGCGGGTGTTGCTGCGACGGTGCAGGCGGTGCCGGCGCCAGTGGGGCCTGAGGCTGATGTGGTTGTTTCTGGATCGGCAGCGGTGCCGGCTGACGGTGACSGGACTGTTGCCGAGGTGGTTCCGTCGACGAGCATGGCGACGACGTGGACAGCAGTTTCCGGTGTAGGTTCAGATTGGAGCTGTGTCGGTCCCGGCTCCGCTTAGACGGGAACGCTGCATTGCAGCCGTCCACCACGCACTTGTGCATGAGTTTCAGGTGCACACGCTGGTAATGGGACTTGACTCCAAAGTGGTTAGGGAACGTTTTACCGCACGCCGTACACGCACGCGGGTTGTCCTTGTCCACGGGCACGTCGTCTGTGGCCACGAACCTGCCGTTCTCAAACACGCCGTACACCCGGTGGTTACCATCACTGTCAGAGTCGCAGTCGTCCAAGTCGTCCCCGTCTTCGTCGTCGTCGTCCAAATCCAAGTCGTCGTCAACGTCGTCATCCAAGTCCTCGTCGTCTTCCAACAGACCATCGTCTTCTTCGGACAGCAGTGAATCCCTTGAGCCACCACCAACTCCTCCCGAYGCTGATCTCCTGCCACTTGCATCACCGTCGACACCACCATCCCCCGCCGTCACTGGGCTGGGTGATGATGGTTTTCTGCTCAGGTTCAAGCAACCGTCGTCATCGTCGGTCAGATTGGATTCTAGCTTGCAAGCGACAGGCTTCACGTCGTTGTTGTTGTCCTTTGGAGACGSGACCGAACCGTAATCGTCCGTGCAAGACATACCTTCGTCGCTGAGGTCGGCCGCGGCTGCGAACCTCGTCGGGTTCATGCTCTTTCGCTTGTGAACGTTCTTAATGGCTACTATGGGTGGCCGATCATTGTTRTTGTCGTTGTTTATGTTGTTGTTGTTGTGGTGATGGTGGTTGTTCTGCGGTTCAGCGGCCGTGCTGCCGCCGTCATCTTCGGATTCTTCAGACATCCGCTTGCAGCTCCTGTCRCTCCGGTGCTCCGAGTCGTCTTCGTCGTCGTCAACGGCATTGCCGTCCACAACGATGCCATCTTCCTCGTCGTCCATGTACTCATCCATGTTGTCTGACGARAATTCAGCCGAGCGGCGGAGTTCTTCGGCCAGGTGCAGGCCCGACGCGGAACTGTGTTTGGATCCGGTGGCTCTYAAGTCAGCACCACCGGCCAACAGTGGAAATGCCCCAAACGCCAGTTGGTTCATAGCAGATGCCTGTAGCGGAGTTATAACCATTGGGTGGTGAGCTTGTGAGCTGCGTCCGTCGTGTGGTGAGATTTTTCGACGTAAATGTGGCGAGTGGAGTTTGGGATTAGGGTTGGCGCTATGCCGGTTTCGAGAACGTCTTGAGCTGAACATCATGTTGCACCCGTCTACAGTGCACTTGTGCATCTCGCGTAAATGAACAGCGGAAAAGTGAATTTTCAGTGCTCCTTTGTCGCAAAAGGTCTTCAGGCAAACGTTGCATTGCACGCGTTTTTTGCCCGTAGCTGGGTTGATGAGTTGAGTGCCTAAATTCAAGGGCAGTCCCGCCGAACCCCACTGTCTCTTTAATGGTTGCGGAGTCTTGCGAATGTGGCCCCGGTGAGGACGTAATGCTTTCAGAGGAGTGTCTTTGCTGAGGTTCAATGCGCTCTGTGAATTTTCTTCCTCTTCATCACCGTCTTCGGAGCCGAAATCACTACTGCCGGCCAAACTGTCAGGTGGWCCGTACTTGTTGTTAAAGTCATTTTGTTGTGGTTGCTGCTGCTGTTGCTGCTGATGTTGTTGCTGCTGCTGTTGTTGCTGCTGGCTTGGGCGTGGGGGCGGTGGTAATAAGTCAGCCGATGAGTTGTTTGACCTTCGGCCAGAGGGGATCTGCACAGGCTTTCCACTGCCAAACCCAGATGCAGCTGACTGCATCTTCCGGAAGTCAAAGGGCTGCATATTTTGCAGCTTGTTGAGTGGTGACACGCTGCTGGTAGGGCTACCGGCGGGTGGTGAACCAGCTCCATTACACGCATTATTGGCGACTGGTGGGGGCTGTAACATCGGTAGTCCACCGGGTGGCTTGGCGAACCCGAACGCTGGTTTTGGTGGTGATGGTGGTGAACTTCCTAGTTGAAGTCGTGGTGGAAGCTGTGGTAGTGGCAGCGGCAGCATTGGTATTGATTGCGGAGGAGGTGTCCGTGTCCGGAACTTATTAATGTCAAATCCAGACTTGTGATCATTATTCAATTGTTGTTTCTGGCGTTCCATTAATCGTTTCATGTCAGTCTCCAGGGCTGGTAGAGCCCGAAAATCCGCACCTAAGCCATGCAACAATAATTGCTGTGTAACTGCTCGAGTTTCACCGAATCTCAAAAACTGTTGCAGCACAAGCGGCTCTTCTTCCGGGCTACATATATTCCAACGTTCCAAAATTCCACCGCCGAGTGGTTCCTATAACGATAAAATTAAAATAACATTAAAAAACCGCAATATACCTAATTATTATTAAATAGCCAACATCTATTGGCAACATATTTATAATATTAACATACAGTRTGCATCAAAAAGTTGATCGAATAATAACCTAAGTATATTCTATGTATAAAGGTATCGAGTAAAACGTGAAATTGTTTTTATATTTCGTGCCAATTGTCAATCCCCGGAGTCTGATTCTTGAGTTTAACGCCTGCCTGAGGCACATAGCGTAATGACCGTCAGTGGCCATGGTGAAAACAATAGTTAACGAAATAACRTGCTTAGCCCCGTATATTCGCAAGACAGCTAGCCCCAGGGACTTTTAAATGTACGCTCATGTGTGCGTGTGTGTATGTAATTCAATCATCCATTACTATAAGTAACACATTATATATATATATATAACAGAGGGAGAGAGAGAGAAAGTCAACTTACGGATACGAGTCATGTATTACATAAAATTACTACAACCCTTTCGGGTCGGTTTGTTTATCCCAAGCCCTTCACACGACGTTCACGTCACGTATCCACCAACGCCACGGACGACCCCAAAAACAAACAGTGATATAGGGTCGTTTTGGTCGTTCATTAGGAACCTATCGATGCGTTTTTGTGTGTTTAACCCTTTTACCGTCCAGACCATACACACAAGCTTATATATATATAAGCACACGCACGCTGTAAATGTTTTATATATATTATWACTATGTGTATTAGTTATTATGACCATCACATTACCTGAAGTATATAACCTCTGGCGTAGTCTTCGTGCGTCCAACCGAACCCTCTGAGAACGGCGGACACTTCGTCTTGACGGAGAACGCTGAACAATCGATCTAACAAGATCTTAAGTCTTATCGGCAGGGCCTGACAGCCATATAACACTAAACTGGCGATGTCGAAAGCCACGTTTGGTTGAATGGGTTCCACAGCTCCGTTTCCCAAGGAAGCTCCACCAAATCCCAACTTGTCAAGASCTGTTGAACAAAAAAATAAACATATATTCGTTAAAAATATTTATTTGATACATTTTGACTTTTACAAGTTATAATAACTTATATAAACGTTATAATAATATATTATAGGTAGGCACACAGGAAATAGTCATTATTATATATTACATCATCAAATTAATTATTAGTAAAGAGGCGGTTGCAGTTTGCACCATCTACACATATGGGTCTCAACGACATATACATATATATATGATATCAAACCTATATATACGATGACGGCAACAAAGATGATGACGGTAAGGATCCCTCTATATAGATCTTTTTCGATCATTACCCTGAAGTATCTACACAATATAATAATAAATGAAACACCCGTGGGATTGATGATGATGAACGCTGTTCAATGTGGTACAGATATTCTCCCGTGGCTTATATATATATATATATATATATATTTATATAAAAAAAGGGACTAGACATCATTTTCTACCTGACCTATTCACCGCATACACAATGGGCTCCAGTTATTAAATATAATATTATTATATTATATAAATAATACATTTTTCAGCGGCACGGTGGCGTTTCGACGAACGCTAACAATAGATTTTTTTTTTAATTTGACAACCGATCATATTATATGTATTGCGTATTTCGGTTCGTTCGACCGTTAGATTGCGTTTGGTCCCAAAATCAATCCAACTGGAATGAAGCGCCGCAGTMTCAGTTAACTAATAATAATGAGAAAAAACTTATCAATTGAAATATTCTGATCGTATTTCCTGTTGTTATATATATAATATATATTATATATTATGTATAATATGTATACAATATAATGTAGCCGTATACTGGTATATATATATAGGTACCTACTGTTATTGTTAAAACACAAAAAGATCAAGCCTCGACTTATTTATATCTTATATCGTTACATATAATACATTTTTTTCGTATACTGCACCACGGAAAATCCCCCCTCCTACTGTCAACATATATATATATATATATACTTATAAGTGCCGAATCATAGAATTTGATTTCAAAATGGCTGTCGTCATGACTGCAGCAGGACTTACACTAAATACAGATTGTGTAGGCATGCACATATATTGTACATAATATAATATAATATATTGTTTATTATATACGGACGACAAGACACGAAGACATGAATCAACGAATGATTGTAATGTATTATAGGTACCTGATGCTATATATTATATATTATGTGGGATAATTTTAGCATTATTGTCAAGAATATATTATTTTTATATACAAAGACATTTATAATATATTCGTCGAATACAACATTTGTCCAATATCGTAGTTATATACTTATACTATAGTAATCTATACATAATATGTATAGATATTATATATTATACCTATGAGGAATGTATGTGCATACTTTATATAACATATACTATATATACCTATGTTTTATAGGTAGATATTTGTGTGTTAGAAAACGATCGGATGGCACATATGATTATTAATAACGATTGCCAGCCCTAGAGTACCTATATATATATATATATATATATGTATATATAGGTATATATAGGTATATATATGAACTGCAATTACTATACACAGTACACACATATACATATCTACGTATATAGTCAATACAACGAAGATGTACCTACATGTCTATAATTTAAAAACCGACTACTCGTCTACTCGTCGTCATATAGCGGTCGGTGATGGAGTGCAGCAGACCGCCAGAAGCAGCGAGCGCAGTGATTAAATGCGTATTTTTCTGATATTATGAAACCTGTCAACCGTATATATTACGTGCGCGGCTCATATCCATCGTTTATATACACATCATCATGCACATATATATAGTTTTTTTTATACAAAATATAGTCGAGCGCGAAGAGATTGAAAACTTCTGGGCTGATTCCCGGTGCGTATATTATTATATATTAATAGCGCGCATTGTGCTCGTCAGCCGCGATTGCGGCGTAATACACATATACTGCTGCAGCATAGTGGGTCCTGCACTCCGTGAGAGTGGTAGGGTGGGGGTGTAGTCATTATATTCGTCTCGTCATTGTTGAAAACGTATATAATAATCTACCGAGTGGTGCGTATATCGTATATATGTAAGTATATATATGTACATATAATAATAATATGCACTTTAAGGTTTTCGACGATGCACGCGCAATGACGCGACGACTACATCGCGCACGTACACATGAGTACTCGGATATATATGTACCATGATGTGTATTTATATATATATACATCGGTCTCACAATGTGCTAATGGCGACCAGACTGTGATCGGTGGATGAGAGGGGGGTCCGAGGGAGAGCGCTTATATATAKAATATAATATACATGTAGGTACGATATTATATATCTCGCGATCGCGAAGGGACTGGAACATAATACGGGCCATGCACAAGTACACTGCCACGCACATCACACGCATTTAACAAGCGACCCCCTTTGGGAATAATAATAAAAACGCGTTTTCTATATTATTATTATTATATTATTATATCTATACATACGACGWCGATCCATTTTCGTATTATTATCATAAAATATAAATAATAATCCGTGGCGCGAGGACGATGATATTATAATGTACGAACGTCGGATAATGATAATAATAAAAAAAAAAAATAATAATAAAGTGTGCAGCTGCTACACAGCGTTTGCGACGACGAGGATTGCTCTGCCACCGTATTTGTTATTGGTTGGGGCYGAGGGGTCCCCGATATCGACTATATTATATTCTATAATATTGTATCGTATAATATTATTGTCGTGCGCCGTTTGTCTCCGAACGGTCCCCCGGGCACTGTAGTCGACCGTCGGCGGCGTCGCGTCTCATTGGTCGGCCGGCCGTGTCATACGCTGTGTCAACCACCGGCCGGCGCTCCGCCCACCGAGCTGCGACAAATCTCCTCCCACCGACCGGCGACGACGACGACGACGACAGTGACACACACGACGCACCGCACCGTATCATCCGAAGACTACATAATATTATACAAATACATAATGACGAATACACGTAGACGCGGTACAAAGGAAAACATTCGGTCCGATTGTGCCGGAAAAAATGGCGATTTGTTCGTATTCACGAAACATCTTGTAACAGGGCCATTATATATACCTGAGATATTGCGTGTTTATGTATATATAGACCGGTATGACGTATATCAACATATAGATATGAGATTATGTTATATGACGAGAGTATATTACCTAAGTTTTAAAAAAAAAAATTGTATTTTTCTTTTTACACAACTGCAAACGATCGTCATTTTTCCCATCGGTATACGGACGGTGTCGGTATATATAAGAGGACGCGCCAAACATCTGCTGCTCCTGTCATATACAACAAAAAAGACGCCGCGAACGATATTTCATAAAAGAAAAATTACGTTATTACAACGACCGTTTTTTGATTGCGTCGGTACACAGTGCTGTATTTTACTATGTATAGAATAGGTATATAAAGGTAGATACCCACCATATACATACATATATATATATATATATATATATATATATACATCACTTACGTTAGTTACATTATTAAGTATTTTTATATGCAGTGATGGTATATATACATATATATAGGTAATTATAGGAAGCTGGAACGCCTCGTAGATCTTTTAGTATACCTATATATATATAGGTATATAACTTAAATAATATTTCGCGCTTTAATAATCCATATTATATACAAATATTTCTGTGTCAGCATAAGTTTATTATATTATACCTATATAGTATTAGATAATTTTCTCTTAGCTTGGAAATATACCTTTATATCAATTATATAAATACCTATCTATAGGAATACGATAATCACAAATATATATGCATATATAGTTGCAGTTGTGTTTCCTTTAGCGATCACAAATCGTACATTATATATAACCCACTAATATACATGCAGGTACCTATATAGATTTAGGCATATAGAAGAGAAACGTATCGATCCTTATAGGTATACAATATACATGTATATATTTATGTGACCACAACACCTATAATATTATCATTATCATAATATATCTATATATGAATATATATATAGGTTATATTATTTGTGATATAATATTATGTGTGAAGCGACGAACGATATATGTATATATATATATATACCTAGTGTCCTGTAGACTGCAGTTCACAGCCCTCATCGAGGCTGTTTTCCTAGCTAACTATATAAATATAGTTCGAAATTATAAAACCGGTCACATATACGCGTATTATATGCTTGTACCTATATTTACGCCTCGTTTTCTCACGGACAAAAATTACACACACGACGTATTATTACAATTACRACATTACGCGCCCATATAGAATGTCTACTGATATATACCAAGTCGGATTGTCGGATTGCTGCGGTCCGCTTGCGAACCGCAAGAGAACCGCAAATGAGGTGCGTGCTTTAGCGGTGGAGGCGGCGTTTTTCCCATCGTCCACGGAGAGACGCCCAATTTGCGTTTTATTTTAAAGTACCTATAGACATTATAATATTATATTAGGTATATGTGTACCTAATATATATATATATATATATATATACTTATTATATAATAATATATACTCAGCTATTTTTCGAGTTGATATATTACAAAAAAAAATCAAAGGTATTTTGTACGTCACCATATACAGGCAGTATATATCATAATATATAATCGAAATATATAATATAGATACATTATATACCTATTACCTATAATATTACATATATTGTAATCTATATAATATTACCTATAAATATAACCATAATTATGTTGCACAATGCACCAAACTATAGAATGTCATCACACCCTATACTATATGACCGCGCGTCTCTGTGCTGTGTCTGCATCATTGCAGTATCTACACCTATAGCTATGTAATATGTGTTTGTTTTTATTCGCATTTCTGAGAGTTTCACATAAGTTTTAGATTGCTATAGGTATATATTAAAACATCACGAAGGGCAACAAAATTGTGCAGGTGTACCTATATATATATATAATGGTAACGATGA